TCGAGTCGTCTGAACTCACTAGCTATACTATCGCCGGAGAGATGGTGGAGGATGTTGGCGGAGCGCCGTTCCCGGTGGTGTTCTTCGACGGCGAGCAGGAGATGGATATCGGGGACGTCTATATAAACCCGATGATGGATTTCAAGGCTTTCCAGCTTATGCTTAGCCAGAGGATTGGGATTTCCCCTAACCAGATTTCGATTTACCTGTGTAACAGCAGCAAACCGGACCGCAAGAAGATTCCAATCACCGGGAAGGTAAACTTCGCGTTCATCGCTCGCGAGAAGGACTGCTACTTCCTCGCGGTGTTGAAGAGGTCGCGGAAGTCGCGGAACCGGAAGGCGAAGATGAACGGCGGCGCGGTGGTGGATTACGGAGATTATATGTCGGAGAACGACTTCGCGCATTCTCCTCAGCCGGAGAATTTGATTTTGCTACGCCGTAACCATCCGCCGGAGATGAGCGTGAACATGAACCCGGCGGATCCGGTATTCCCCGGGTTCGGACCTTCGTACTACGACCAGATTTCTCAGGCGGAACTCGCCGGCCTGAACGATAGGCTGCACAATTTCCAGATTCAGAGGGAGAATTACGCGATGGCGATGGCGAGAATGAATCCGAACCTGATGCATCACGCGATTCCGAGCCCTAATTTGGAATTGGATCCAAACACTTTCCCGAGAATCGAAGATACCTACCGGACGGTAACGGCGAAAACGGACGCAACTACCTGCAAGGAATGTATCAGTGCGAAGAACGGAAAACCCGCCGCGTTCCACCCGTGTGTAAACGATCCGGTCCTCAAAGGATGGTTCCGGAGTCGGGCCGGGCCGGTTCGACGCACGCCAAAAACTCCTCGTTGAACGTTCACGTGGTTTTATCTTCTCTTTCATCTTCCCCTTTATTTTCTCTTTTCGGTTTTCGTGTATAGAATAGCGCTGGGAAGCTGCAATCCGCTGTGGGCGGCTACATTGTAGACTTTATTATTTTAATTGACCAATTTAACCCTTCTGGGGAATGGCACAAACCGCACAATGAAGGAATTGTCAACTGTGTCTCACATCGCATTTGTTTGGATGTTTTTTGGAATTTCCTTTGAAACAAAAAAAGGAATTCGAATTTTAAATTCGAAAATTTGTTTAATTCCGAAATTGAAATATTAGTTCTGTCATCAAGGCCAATTCGTTTTTTTTTTTTTTTTTTTTTTCATTTCCTGAATTTTTAATAATCAAGAGTTTTTGAATACCATAGTTTGAAGTGTTTGAACGCGTGGACGGTGTAAAGTTTTGGACGGCTCCTAATCATGTGAGAAAAACACAATTCTCCGTGTGATGAAATGGTAAAAGCTGCCAAACCATAATAATAATGCCCATCGCAATTTCTCATCTTTATTAAGTAGGAAAAATTCCTCATCCCAATGGTCTTTTAATTACCATACAAAAAAATTGATTCGATTCCATAATAACAATATTAATAATGCCATATAATTATGGTTCACAATTTAATATAGTTATAGGACTATGAAATAAGTCTATTTTTATTATTTAATTATAAAAAATAACAATTCCTTCATTAAGGAATAAGGAGTGAATCAATAAATTTCTTTTTAACTTTAACCTCCCATAATTTAATTGTGGTGGCCAAGTTTCAAAATCATGGTCACACAATGGGTGTGGTGGTGACCATGAGTCATGACCATCCAACTTTAAAATATCCACTCTGCATGTCATAAGGGCATCCTCAATAATTGAGACTTTTTTTTTTAATTATTGATACTTTTTTCTCAATTTGTTGTGGGTCCCAACATCCACCTCATTCTCCAGTATCTCACTCAATTGTTCTTACATCAAGACATCGAATTTGTTTGGATGTTTTGGGGAATTTCCTTTGAAACAAAAAAGGAATTCAAATTTTAAATTCAAAAATTTGTTTAATTCTGAAAGGAAAATTGGTCAAATACATCATTCAACTTTCGGTAAGAAGTTATTTTTAGGCCCTCAAACATTTAAAAGTTGCAATTAGACACATTAACAAATTAATTTAGTACATTAAAACCTAAAACTCTAAATGTAAGTCGTCGAAAAAGGCAACCAAACCGGTCGCGTCCTTCTCCGTTGCTGGAGATGGCAACCAAACTGGTTTCCATCTCCAACGACGGAGAAAGCGACAGGTTGTGCGGTGCGAAGTTCGGACGACAGAAATGTGATTCAATAGCGAAATCCATTGGCGTGTAGAATTTCGTTCAGCGTTAAATTCCTTCACATCATCAAATTATTTCCATAATCTCAGTAGCTTTTTCATTGGCGGCATTTGATTCTTGGCTGGGGAGCGATTTTCTGGATTAGGCAGCAAATTCTCCGGTCGACAGCTTCGTAACTCCAGTAAGGCAGCAACAATCTCTCCAACTAGGCATCATATTAAATTTGGTGCTCCTCCTTTTACATAGGTTTTTTTCCTTAATTCAATTGGTATGGATTTAGCTAATAGGTTGCTATTCAATTAGCAATTTTCAAATTGCTAACATGATGTGATGATTACGAACTGAGCTTTCAATTTCAATTGATGATGTTGAGTAATTAACTTAGTTTAATTTGGTAATTGTTTAAATGATTTGTATCTTCGTCGTACTTGGAATCATCATGTTTGGCTAAGCATGGTTGCCTTCACCGGAATGTCACCGGAGTTTCGCGGATGAATTATTGACATGCGGTTACAATTAGGATTTTGGGCCTTAATGTAATAAATTAATATGTTAATGTATCTAATTGCACCTTTCAAAAGTTTAAGAGCCTAATTAACTTCTTACTAAAGTTGGGAGTGTATTCCACCATTTTTCCATTATGAAATTGAAATATTAGCTATGCCATCAAGGCCAATTCGTTTTCTTTTCATTCTTTTTTTTTTTTCCTTAATTTTTAATAATCAAGAGTTTTCAAAACCATCTTTTGAAGTGTTTGAACGCGTGGACGGTGTAAAATTTTGGATGGCTCCTAATTAAGGATGTCAACAGGGCGGGGGACATACCTCATCCTCCCCCTGATTTTTTTCCCATTCCTTGTCCCCGTCTTCATTCCCTCCGGGGATTATTCGGGGACGAGGAATAACCACCCTCGTTAATAAGTTATTAAAAAAAAATTAAAGATTAAAAACATTTAAATAAATAACGTATATATATTCATCCCAACTTAAAGTAGTATTCAATATTTTACAATTAAACATATTATTTAAATATGTATTTCATAAGCATGACATAAAATGAAAATAATGCTTCTAAAATTATATATATATTAGTCGATCTGCTGACTAATCTCTTTGAATTTCTAATATGCTCCACCAAATGATAACGGGCTTCCAAAGCTTCCTTCCTTCTAACTTTTTGCATAATTACTAGTAAATTACTTTAAAATTCAATTCGTTTAAATTCACTCCTCTAACTTGTGATCAAATTATAATGAATAGTCAAAGATGCAATTGTTATTAAAATGGTGCAAATATTCCATCCCGCGTTTCCCAATGAAATTGTTGTAATATATTGTTTGTAATTGTTGGCCTTTCGGGCACCCTATTAGCGCCTAACGTCTCCTAATAATAATACAACAATAACATGGTATCAATTCAATTCTCACATCATTCCAAAGGTAAGTAAATTCATTCGTTTGGTTTGAGGGAATTGTAATTCCGCAGAATTAAAATTTCCTCATTTTTAAGGAATTAGAATCTCATGCTCCTCTTGGTATTTCGATTCCCTGAATTTTAAGAAAAAAATGACTTCGAGAAAAAATTGTCCCTCTATTTTTTAAACATAAAATTAATATTTGATATCTCTTTTTCGATTATAGCGGGTCTTGTTCTTTTACTCAGAACGTCAATTAGTAGTCCAATCTCAATTAAACATGTTTTCTCAAAACTCGCTTATCTATTTTATTGTTTTTGTTACGCAATTTTAAAGTTTATTTGAGCGTGTTACATAAAATTTTAGAAGCAAAATTTGAATTTGGTTATTTAAAATTTATAATAATAATAATATTATTATAATAGTATATTATTATTATTATTAGTAATAAATATTGTCATTTTAGACTTTATAGTTTATACTACTTTTTTTTCGCCTCGACTGAGGCTCAAACTCATAATCTTCCAAATGTAAGTCCAACCCGAGTATCATTATTCACTTTCAATTCTCATATATACCAAATATTGGAATTTCAATTATAGTACTTTTATTCTTGTAAGCCAAACAATGAAATTAAATTACCATTTTATTCCTACATTATTCTTCTCCCATAATAAAATTATAATTTTTTTTCTACCTAATTGACTAATTTCAATATTTCATCCCTCTAACCAAGCCTCCCGTGATTGTAAAACTAAAAATGAAATTTAGTCTATTTATGGTAAAATATTGTTCCACTAGTTGATAAAAGTTGTATTAAAATCTAACATAACATTCTAATTTAATTATGATTAATACTTTTGTAAGAAAAGTAAATAGAGAATATTTCTTGACGTGTTATCGTATATTGTCTCAAACTGTTATATGAAAAAGAGAATACAAAACAGTATAAATAGGTACAAATAGAACACACGTTTTCATATGCCTTACCTCTTTAAATTCGACTGCCATACAAATATAGAATATAAAACTCTATAAATAAGTGCTAGAAAACTACAAATAAGAAACAAGTTTTCATATACCTTAGATATCTAAATCTCTAAAATTACCTAATTTATAGAAATTCTATATTCCATAACAACTTTATATATATGGTAACACATATTTTGATTGATTGACTCGTGCATTCTTTGATTTGTGGGGGAGCCAATCTATTTTAAGAAGATTTTGAAAAAGAGAGACAATACTTAAGTATTAAGTACTTACTAAAAATTAAAGAGAAAAATTTAGAAAGTTGCGAAATAGGTAATAACGACTGCATATAATATAACCTATAAAAGCGGTCATCTTAATCTCCATTGATTTTTGGAGAAGAAGAGAGCAAGCAATGGCGGTCAATCGGGAGGAAATCCTCAAGGAGAGGGCGGCGTTCATAAGGGATTCTCTGCACAAGAGCCAAACCATCATCGAAACCGTAACCGCCATGCGTCCCACTCAGGTCCCATTTTTCGTTAATGTCTTTTCTGAGAGAATAATCAATGTAGGGTTGTTTAATTGAATACGGGTGTATCTTTGTGGCTATGAATTTGGATCTGAATTCAATACGTGTAGATATGTCTCCTAACATATATAGTAACATGATAATATATTCAAGTATATACGCACGCCTTATGCATGTCACTGGGTCACGGAATGTTTTGAGTTTTGGATCATATAGATACAAAGGCATTCAATTAGAAAGGCACACAAGAACCTTGACAAGACGCTTCAGGCAACTCAGCTGATTTTAAGTCAATTTGATCTTGCACGGCAGGTATGATTTGTTTTTTTTATATGTTTGTTCATCCAGCACTTATTGATCTCCTATTAGTTCTGTTAATTACTTTAGTATTTATTGTATGATGATATCAATGTGTCTATGCTTGATGATTTGAAGTCTGCATTACAAAAAAATTGTTCTATTCTATTAATGTTTATTTGAGTGTCTTTGTATACTCACATCATTGGCTACTTCAATTTTTCAGGCAGAGGCAAAGACACTAAGAGGGCCACATGAGAATTTGGAAAGTTATCTGGAGGATCAGTTGAGGGGTGTAATTAAACGTTTTGATAGTGACAACAACTTTAAGGGTGGTGTACTTAACAAGTATGTTGGTAAACTAGAAGAGGATCTTCGTCAGCTCCTTAGCGCATACAGGTTTGCTAATTATTCATTTTACTGTTCTCAAATTTATAATATTTTTGGTATTTTTGGTATTTTGAGAGGCTTATGGGGTTCTCCAATGCTCTTATGTTACCTTCTTTCAGCTGTTAATACCATACATACCTGTTTAAATAATGTAATTCAATTATCCTTTTCTTGAAAGTTTTTCTAGTTTTATTTGATGCATTGCTGCGGTGGCCAAGTATTCATTTATTGATTGTTATATCTGTGCTCAAATCTGAAAATAATCATGTTTAATTTGGACGGATCTCAGCAAACCGGTTGAACCGGGTCTTTTTGACGGTTTGCCTCAATCTCTACGTCCATCTCCTGATGCTGGCTTGAAACAGCAGCAACAAAAGAGTTTAGGAACTGCTGTGTACCACCCACCAGCTCTTGTTCCACCACGAGTTCAAGCTGGCCACCATCAGGAAGTGTTCAATATTTACAGGTGAAAGTTTCAAAATTTTCAGTGTGTGGTATCATTCTTGAATATTACTCATATGGCTCCTTTGTTCCTTAAACACCCATCCCGCATTACTCAGTGTGGGAAGCAAAACTTCATGGCTGGGATTTTAATTACTTGAAGCATTCTGTTGTGCATATTTTGTTCACTTGACTTCAGTGTATAATCCCTTGTTTATCCAGAGATATCCGAGTTTCATCTGTGGAGCAGAGTCTCAGAAAACTAGGAGTGGAAAGAGTGAGTAAAGAAGATGTACAAAAGATGCAATGGGAAGTTTTTGAAGCAAAGATTGGAAACTGGATTCATTACATGCGGATTGCAGTGAGACCCATCTCTGATTCTTCTTTCTTTTTATGTTTCCCTTGTATTGACTGCCTAGTCTTGTTTGTTGAAACATACAGGTCAAAGAATTGTTGAATGCTTACTTCTCTGAAATAAGTTCATACTTTCTTCCTTTTCCATTTTTTAATTTTGTGGTGAAAACTGTTAATGACAGATGGATATAATTTTTGGAAGGAAATATTGTACTGAAATGCGAGAAGCTACTATGATTTTGACGAAGTGTTTGGCTGAGACTTCTCAAGAGACCTTTGTGGACTTTGAAGATGCAGTGGAGAAAGATGCCACGAAAACTACTGTTCATGATGGAACTATCCATCCTCTAACAATCTATGTGATCAATTATGTCAAGTTTTTATTCGAGTAAGTCTACTTAATTGATTCCATTTCTTTTTCTGCATTTTCTGGGTGGTAAGGTCCAGATTTCTTGTTCTTCACTTCTGGCATGTTGCCTTTTCTGCTTCCCAATCCCACCAGTTTAGTTTTCCTGCTCTGCTCTGCTCTGCTCTGCTCTTTAATGTTGGCATGTTTTTCGTCTCTTATTTGATGTTATCTATGAACAGCTATCATTCAACTTTGAAACTACTATTTCGAGAGTTTGATCACACTGATGCAGACATCCAAATGGCGTCCATAACAACACGAAGTATTCAAGCACTCATAACTAATCTGGATGGGAAATCTAAGCAATACAAAGACGCTGCATTGACTCAATTATTTATGATGAACAATATATACTACATTGTAAGATTTGTCCGCAGGTTAGTACTGTCTTTCATCATGTCCATGATAATATTCATTTACAGAGTAATATTGCACAGGTTCAGTTTCTTTGATTATTTAGGTCAGAAGTTAAGGATTTGTTAGGCGATGATTGGGTGCAGATACATAGAAGGATAGTCCAGCAGCATGCAAATCAGTACAAGAGGATCTCTTGGTCTAAGGTTTGTACGTTTAGCAGCTTTTAATAACACACACTTTTATATACATCTACTAGTATAGGATTGGAATTATTGGCACCTATGCCTTTTGCACTAAATACAAATATACAACCATATTTACTTTTGAGATTATATTGTACTGGATATTATAAGAACAACGTAACTAACAATCAATAGTATCTAGACAATCCGAAAAGTATAAATGATTGGATCCATCCTGTACTAAAGGTAAGGTGGCACAGTACAGTGTCAGGACCTACATGGATCTTTCATTTAAGCTAGCAAAGAAATAAGTGTGAGTAGATGGAGGGAGCTGATCCTTTACGTTGTTGAATTGCATGCATGGTACAGATTCTTCAGTGTCTATCCATTCAGGGAGTTACCCCGGAGAACAGTTCCTTCATAATTTGTTCTCCCCATGTTACCAGCAATGTGTCAAGAGTGACAGTGAAAGACAGGTACAAGACGTTCAACGTCCTGTTTGAAGAACTTCATCAAAGGCAATCACAATGGACAGTTCCGGACAGCGAGTTGCGCGAGTCGTTGAGGCTGGCGGTTGCCCAACTTCTCTTGCCTGCTTATAGATCTTTCATTAAGCATTATGGGTATGTATGTATGTATGTATGTTCTATCTTCTTTCTCATCACTCAAAAACATTCAAGAATTACACTATCTATCTTGTTAGGCCTATGATTGAGAACGGCAAGAATCCTTCCAAGTACATCCGCTTCACTCCTGAGGATCTTGAGAGGAAACTGTCTGAGTTTTTTGAAGGAAAAACGTGGAATGAGCAAAGGCGATGATAAATTCAATTGTGGATATCAAGCACTAGTTTTGCCTAGAAGAAGATCGAGCTTAATTCTGTTCTCATATTATTATTTTAATTTAAAAGTATATGAATAATGCATTTTGATGCCTCATTAACTTCTGTATCAATACCATACCCCTTTCTTAGGTATATCAAAATGTTTCATTTTTAATAATTGTTCATTATGCTACCAAATTCATATTTATTATTATCTATACTAATCTAATCTAATCTTACAAGAGTTCTTTTGTACCTTATTAGATGTTCTTTATATATTTTTAGACTTAATTATCAAAATGGTCCTCCGACTATGAATTTTTCTTAAATTGGTTTCTTGAATTTTAAGTGCACCCAAAGTGGTCATTCGACTATTGAAATTTAAATCAAAATGATCATCCGTTAGATTTGGTGTTAAGTGGTGCTAAAATGAATGGTAAAAATGATATTTTATATTATTTGTAGTTTAGAGCTTTGACCTGCCGATTACTTTTCCAAATTAGCGAAATTTTTTTTTGTGAGTTTATATTCTTTAATTTGCAAAAAATGTTTTCACTAATTTGGGGAAGTAATTGGCAGGTCAAATTAAAGCTCTAAACAACAAACAATATATAATGTCATTTTTATCACCAAATCTAATGGAGGACAATTTTGACTTAAAATTCAATAGTCAGAGGACCATTTTGGGTGCAATTAAAAGTCAAGGAGCCCATTTGAGAAAAGATCATAGTCGAATGATCATTTTGGGAATTAATTCTATTTTTTTATATAATTCTTTCACTAAATATGGTACAAAATTCAAAACTGAAAATAACAATCAGTGTTGTAAAAATCGGCCTAAGCCACCGACGAAGTACTAGTTGCTCCTAGGTTAAGAAGACTTCACTCCTATATGCCTTTTAGTCGGGCAATTGATTAGACGTCCCACTCAGCTAACTCGATTGAGTCTATGCCTAATTAATAATTTTATTAATTAAGGAATGAGTCAATAAATTTTATGTTTCAAATTTTTACCTCCCTATAATTGTGGTGGCCAAGTTCCAAAATCATGGTCGCAGAATAGGTGTGGTGGTGACTATGACTACCAAACTTTAAAATACCAACTTTGCATGTCATAAGGCTAGACCACGGGTGCAACCATCTCTGTCTATCATGGTTATGGATTAATTAACTCAAAGTCACATACCTCGTCAAGATGTGGTGACTATTATGTCACAAATTAGTTAACAAAGTCACCCTTCCATCACGAAGGGTGACTTTTTTTTTTTTTTTTTTTTTTTTTTTTTTTAAGATGTTCTTTATATATTTTTATATAATTCTTTCACTAAATAAGGTACAACATTTAAAACTAAAAATAACAATTAGTGTTGTAAAAATCGGCCTAAGTCACCGACTAAGCACTAAGTGCTCCTAGGCTTAGAAGACTTCACTCATATGTGCCTTTTAGTAGGGCATTAGGTGTCACACTCAACTTACTCAATGCGCCTAACTTGACAAAGTGCTCCTAGGCTGAGAAGACTTCACTCATATGTGCCTTTTAGTAGGGCATTAGGTGTCACACTCAACTTACTCAATGCGCCTAACTTGACAGAGTGTTTTTTAGTTGCATTTATTTTACTCTCCACATATACAACCCGCCTCCATTGAGATTCGAACCATCTACCTCCCATATAAAAATACAACCAGATAACAATGAACCACAAAATCCTTCGTAATTTTATTATGATTAATACTTTTTATATATGGTAACACTTGATTGATTGATCAATGCCTTCTTTGATTTGTGGGAGAGCGGATCTATTATGCACTTACTAAAAAAAAATAAAGATAAAATTTGAAAATTAATTGAGAGTTAAAACAACAAAAAGTGGAGGAACGGAGGTGATAACGACTGCGCCTGTGTAAACTATAAAGGCGTTCATTTTAATCTCCATTGATTTCTGGAGAAGAGAGGGAGCAGCAATGGCGGTTAATCCAGAGGTAGCGATGGAAATCCTCAAGGAGAGGGCGGCGTTCATGAAGGATTCGCTGCACAAGAGCCAAACCATTACCGACAGCATGGTCACCATTCTCGGATCATTTGACCACCGCCTCTCCGCCCTCGAAACCGCCATGCGCCCCACTCAGGTCCCATTCTCTATCAAGATTTCGTTAACCTAGAGTATAATCAATGCAGGATTGTTTAATTTAATACACGCGTATCTTTATCACTATGAATTTGGATCTCAATTCAATATGTATAGATATGCCTACTAACATAGAAACATGATAATATCTTACGCATTGAAATGCATAACACTGAGTCACTGAAGTTGCTTGAGTTTGGATCATATAGATACGAACGCATTCAATTAGAAGCGCACACGAGAATATTGACAAGACACTTAAGACTACTGAGCTTATTTTAAAGCAATTTGATCTTGCACGGCAGGTATATATGATTTGTTTTTTTACATGTCTGTTCATATGATTATCAATTTGTGGATGCTTGATGGTTTGAAGTCTACATTACAAAAAATTGTTCTATTCATGTATATTTGAATGTCTTTGTCTACTTCAAATTTCCAGGCAGAGGCAAAGATACTGAGAGGGCCACATGAGTATCTGGAAAGTTATCTGGAGGCATGTGATCAGTTGAGGGGTGTAATTAAATTTTTTGGTAGTAACAAAAACTTTAAGGGTGGTGTATCGGTGATTAACCACGCCACTACTTTACTTAACAAGTCTGTTGGTAAACTAGAAGAGGAGTTTCGTCAGCTCCTTAGCGCATACAGGTTTGCTCGTTATTCATGTTACTGTTCTTAAATTCATAGTTTTTTGGTATTTTTAGAGGCTTATTCGCTTCTTCAATTCAATGCTCTTATGTTATCCTTTTCTTGAAAGTTTTCTAGTTTTATTTGATGCATTGCTGCTGCAGTGGCCAAGTATTCATTTATTGATTGTTATATCTATGCTCAAATCTGAAAATAATCTCAGCAAACCGGTGGAACCGGATCGTCTTTTTGACGGTTTGCCTCAATCTCTACGCCCATCTCCTGATGCTGGCTCGAAACAGCAGCAACAAAAGAGTTTAGAAACTGCTGTTTACAACCCTCCAGCTCTTATGCCACCAAGAGTTGTGCCACTTCTAAATGCATTGTCCCAACAACTGATTCAAGCTGGCCATCACCAGGATGTGTTCACTATTTACAGGTAAACGTAAGATAACAGGGATTTTAATTTTGGTGACTCTACTTGAGTGTATATATTCCCTTGTTTATCCAGAGAAGTTCGAGCTTCATCTGTGGAGCAGAGTCTGAGAAAACTAGGAGTGGAAAGAGTGAGTAAAGAAGATGTACAAAAGATGCAATGGGAAGTTTTGGAAGCAAAGATTGGAAACTGGATTCATTATATGCGGATTGCAGTGAAGCTTTTATTTCCTGCAGAGAAGAAAGTATCTGAACAAGTTTTCGAAGGTTACGATTCTATTAGAGATCAATGTTTTGCAGATGTTACTGCAAATAGTGTATCTGTCCTCTTTAGTTTTGGTGAGGCTATTGCGAAAAGCAAAAGATCTCCCGAAAAGCTATTTGTCCTTTTGGACATGTATGAAATCATGAGAGAAATTCAAACAGAGGTATAGAGAAGTTGGATGCTTAGTTCTCTGAAATAAGTTCATACTTTCTTCCTTTTCCTTTTTTAATTCTTCGGTGACAACTTTGATGACAGATGGATATAATTTTTGCAAGCAAACATTGTACTGATATGCGAGAAGCTACTACAGTTTTGACAAAGCGCTTGGCCGAGACTTCTCAAGAGACCTTCGTGGACTTTGAAGAAGCCGTGGAGAAAGATGCCACGAAAACGACTGTTCATGATGGAACTGTCCATCCCCTAACAAGCTATGTGATCAATTATGTAAAGTTTTTGTTCGAGTAAGTCTACTCGATTCCATTTCTTTTACTGCATTTTCTGTGATCAATTATGTAAAGTTTTTGTTCGAGTAAGTCTACTCGATTCCATTTCTTGTTCTTGATTATTTGATGTTATCTATGAACAGCTATCAATCGACTTTGAAACTACTATTTCGAGAGTTTGATGACACGGATGCAGACGTCCAAATGGCATCCATAACAACGCGAATTATTCAAGCACTCATGACGAATCTGGATGGGAAATCTAGGCAATACAAAGACGCTGCATTGACACAATTATTTATGATGAACAATATACACTACATTGTAAGATCTGTCCGCAGGTTAGTATACCCGTCTTTCATAATGTCCATGATAATATTATTCATTTACAGAGTGTTACACAAGTCCAGTTTCTTAATTTATTTAGGTCAGAAGCTAAAGATTTGTTAGGCGACGATTGGGTGCAGATACATAGAAGGATAGTCCAGCAGCATGCAAATCAGTACAAGAGGCTCTCTTGGTCTAAGGTTTGTTTAGTAGCATATAATAACACACTTTTATATACATCCACTCGATGGAGCTGATCCGATCCGTTCTTGAATTGCTACAGATTCTTCAGTGTCTATCCATTCAAGGAGTTACCCCGGGGAACAGTTCGTTCATAATCGATGCTCCCCCGGTTACCAGCAATGTGTCGAGGGCGACTGTGAAAGACAGGTACAAGACGTTCAACGTCCTGTTTGAAGAACTTCATCAACGGCAATCGCAATGGACAGTTCCAGACAGCGAGTTGCGTGAGTCGTTGAGGCTCGCGGTTGCTGAAGTTCTCTTGCCTGCTTATAGATCTTTCATTAAACGTTATGGGTATGTATGTATGTATGTTGTTATAGCACTCTCTATCTTAATATTTTCAAGAATTATAGAAAATAATGATGATTATGTTGTTAGGCCTATGATTGAGAATGGCAAGAATCCATCGAAGTACATTCGCTTCACTCCTGAGGATCTTGAGAGGATGCTGTCTGAGTTTTTTGAAGGAAAAACTTGGAATGAGCAAAGGCGGTGATAAATTCAATTGTGGATATCAAGCACTAGTGTTGCCTAGAAGAAGATCATATCGAGCTTCAATTCTGTTCTCATATTATTATTTAAATTTATAAGTATATGAATAATGCAATGCCTCATTAAATGCTGTATCAATACCATACCCCTTTCTTTGGTATGTAATTTTTTGTTTTAATTTCGGTGTAGATATATACCCAAATGTTTCATTTTCAATAATTGTCCATTATGCTATCAGATTCTTTTTTTTTTTTTTTTTTTTGTCTGTATGTTGTACACTTCGGAATTCGGATTTGATTCTGTGGCATTCCTTCGAGAAGAGTTATAGAGGTGTCAACTGAGCACAAGGTGCTTGGCGCCAGATTCATATTAATAATATGTGAAATTATGTATGAATGCAACACCAAACAAACACCAAACAATTAGGTATGCTGTGCGATAACTTTAAGATCAGAGAACAAAAGCTATTAATTTGAACATAACAAATTTATGTCTCATCCTTTAATTTGGCCATGAATTTCATTCCCCCACGGTTCTGTAAATTAGATAGGAAGATACCAAACAATACAGTGGCTCTGGTTTCGTAACACCACAGCCAAAAGCCAAAAAAAGGTAATCGGGAAATTTCGGGTAGGTATCGACTATGAGTGGTGATGGTGTTGTTGAGTTATAAGTCACATAGGTACGGGGAGCTTCAATAATTGTCTAAAAATAAATTTAGAGAATTTATATGTGTACAATTATATATGTTTTCAAGTAAACAATTAAACTTTTTATGTGAGTAGTGCAATAGTAATTTAATTTTAGATTAATTGAATCCTAACACAAATATCACATCGATGGTGATATTGGACATGGGCTGAAGATTTATTGGGCTGACCCTGTTGGTCCGGATAGGTCCAGGGGGTTCGGGTCAGGGCACTACGGCGTGGGGTTAGGGGGTGCCCGGCGTCAGTGGCCGGAAAGGGTCGCTGGTTGGGGCCAGATGGTGCGCTTGTCGCGCGGTTGGGCGCGGGCGTAGCGCCCCTGTGCGAGGCCACGGGAGCGGCGGCGTACGGTCTCCGGCGCCGGGCGGGCCGCCCGAGGTGCGCAGGTGCAGGGGAGTGCGTAGGAGAAGTCACGAGAGTGTCGGTGCATGGCGAACGTGCGGACTGTTCTGCTATAAACGAGGGAGTGGCGTCTGATTGAGTAGTGGGACACGTGGACAACCAAAGGGGGAGGGGGGGCCCTGGATCTGTGGTTAAGGGCAAGCAACACACGACAAGCACTATGGTCTAGTGGTCTTTAGTCTATACTTTCAACCCAGCCACCTGGGTTCAATTCCTACCAGTAGCATATCTAGCTATAGTCCACCCCATGGGCCTTGTTCTTTGTATTTGGGGCCGCCATTCTAGGCCTGTACCTCGGGCTAGTCCACCCCGTGGGCCTTTGGCCTTGTTCTTTGTATTTGGTGCCGCCATTCTAGGCTTGTACCTCGGGCTAGTCCACCCAGTGGGCCTTGTTCTTTGTATTTGGGGCCGCCATTCTGGGCATGTACCTCGGGCTTGCCCACCCCGTGAGCCTTGTTCTTTGTTTTTGGGGCCGCCATTCTAGGCATGTACCTCGGGCTATGTATGTGCTATTTTGAGCTTAACGCCCCAGATAAAAAACCTAGTGTTTTCTACCCCGTCTTGTGTCTGTATACCCGGTTTATGATGGATCCGTTCCCAATAAAACCATCCCACCTTGAATCCAAATTGGAATCTTTAGATTCAATAAAGAAATATTATATTATAATTTATAAGGCATATAAAAACGTAGTAAATTAATTAGGCATTGCATATTTGCATGGAGGAGCACAAAATACGAAACAACATACATGCAGGATACCCGGCCACTTAACCGGGGCAGACATATCTCCATCTCCTCCTCATTTCATTCTAATTTGAATTCAAGTTTTTTTCAAAGTTTTTTTTTTTTTTTTGAAAAGAATTTGAATTCAAGTTTAACCTATCAATCATCTTTTCTTTAATTTTTTAAATTTAATTTATCGCTAAATCCTTTGAATTTGATATCTTTTCTTCGTCTTCTCCAGAAACTTAGGGGAGATAATGGACAAGAAGTCCAAGGTCTCCTCCCCACCCGACGAGGATGAAACAAAGGTGGCGGTTTTGGGATACCCTCCACAACAATCGCCACTCCCCCATCACCATCATTATCCCGGTTACCCTGTTCCGGCGCCCTATCATCCCGGATATCCGCCGTCTCCGTCTATCTCGCCGTACGCCGCCGGCCCCCCTGGGTACCCTAACCAGCCCCACCAATATCCTCCCATGCAGAATTACTACCAGCCGCCGCACCACCCCGGGTATTACAACTCCGCCCCGTTGCCGCCGCACGTGGAATTCGAGCCGCGGCCGAAGATTCTTTTGGCGCGGGTGATTCTGTGTCTCTTGGTTTTCTTGATCCTCGGGACGGTCGCCATGAGCCTGCTGACGTATATCGTCTTCGGCTCCGCCGTCCCTTTCTTCGACGTCGCCGCATTTTCCGTCCCGTCGTTCAATCTCTCCGACAAGTCCCTCGCCGGGACGTGGCAGGCGAATTTCTCCGTGGAGAATCCCAACCACGGCCTCGACGTGATGTTCGAGCGGGTTGAGTCCATGGTTTATTACAACGAGTTCTTGTTGGCCAACAAGATGGTGGAGCCCTTCGAGCTGAAGAGGAACGCGAAGATGGTCCTGCCGGCCCGGATTTCGAGTCCGGCGACGAGAGACGGCGGCAACGAGAGAGAGCCGCCGTGGAAGGAGATGAAAAGTGAGCTGGACGACAGCCGGGACCTCGAGTTCCAGGTGGCGTTGGAGGTTCTGGCGACGTTCAAATCCGGGTCGGATTTGAGCCGGCGGATGACGTTTACCGTTTCTTGTTATGGGTTGACAGCCCACTTTAAGGATCCCGGTGTCGGAGTTTGGGATGGTGTTAAACCCAGTTGTACCGTATTGTTTTAATCTAATTTTCTTTTAATTTGCTTCTCCCGATCCTTAATTTTTATTTTTATTTTTATTTTTACCATAGACCTTGTGGTCCACCGGTATCGGGTTGTTGTCCTATATAAGAGGTTTAGAGTTTGAGCCTTGTGTAGGCGTAGATTGTATATCTGGGTATCCTCTTTCTTTATAATAAAAAAATATTATTGTTATTATTTTTTAAAACCATTGTTAAATTTATTCCTCAATGTTATGTTCAAACCCTATTTTATATATATATATATATATATATATATATATATATATATATATATATATATATATATATATATATATAAAGAAATTAAACTAATTACAATCAATCATCATTTTTTGATTAAAAAGAAAAAGGAACACTGGAAAATATTACCCTTCTCAATTGTCGATCCATTGTTGCCGGTTGTAAGAGATGGATAAAATTGATGCCGGAACTATAATGGCCTATAATAGTATGTCATTTACCGTTTTTTAGACTTCATTACCATAATATAACATGTTAAAGTTTAAAAGTTTAGGAGGCTAACTGACTTTTTAAGTGAAGTTTAAAGGCGCACTTATTTGATATTTTTCCAAATGAAGAATAATTGTCACCATAGTATAATGATCTCCAATATATACAAGGTATAATGCAACGTGACTATTTAAGTATTTATAGTAAAGTACTAGTGCAACTATGAGTTGGAGTACCAAAATTATACAAATCAAAATACAGTAATGATATCATAATTTTATTGCATGAGGTATTGGATGTATATATAGTATGGACCTAAAAAATCAAGTCCACACATGTCAAATATGTGACACGAAATTATGTGCCAAAAATTGATATTATAACTTAGATAGGTATGTATATGTCCTCATGCCACTGCAACATTTGTATGAGTGTGCAACCTTTGCCCCACTTGCAAAAGTAGCATTAGCCCTTTCCCATATCAACAAATGAATTTCCTTTCAATCAATTTTTTATCACTTTCTCATTTTGTCTCTTTCATGAGGACCCTTCTCATCTGCAGCTTCAATTAAATTGGGTGGTGCTCATTTTTTTTTATAAAAAATAATTGTTCACAATTGGTTCAGTATTGCACAAAATACCAATTTTTGATAAATTAAACATACTAATTTAACATTCTTTTTGTATTAGTATTGATATGTGTATTTTTAGGGATAAAATTTTTGCTGAATTTCTTAATTCTATGGCAAAATAACTTTTCATCATTCTTAAATTATAGAGAGATCTTTTGTTGTTCAATTGTTTGTGAAGTGACTCTCCTGAACGAGAAAGTCATGGATTCGATCCTCAGTGAAGTTTTATCAACGACTATATTAACTCTTCATGTTTTAATAGGTTGAGAAAGTAATTATGAACAAATATTACAGAATTATCAGTAAAAATTAAAATGAAATATACGAAGTTCAAGAATGATTTTGTAGGGACTTTATTCTTTATAAGTACACTACAACTGTCAGAATGTCAGAACCAAAAGTTGGACTGTATGTTGGGATCTGTACATAGAATTTGGGTTTATTATTAATTAAAAAAGAACGACAAAACCACAGCCCACATGATGTTTGCCGATACCATTAACGTTAAATAAACTATTTATTAATTAAATATAAAATAACTAATTAAATATTATTATATGTAAAAATTATGATTTGAAACCAGAAAGTGATGAATATAACATTATTTGTCTCCAAATAACATACGTTTTAATATCTCATGCATCATGTAATTTATAACATTTTAAAATTATGAAAATATCACTTAAATATGCCATATAAAATTCATGACATTGATACAACGGCAACCGCTCTTATGTCCTTTTTATATTTTTATCACTTGATCGGTTGCATTACATTTCCAGAAAAAATGAAATTCTTACGTCTTATAATATTTCCTATTATAGTATAAGTTTTGCCAACTAATTTGATGGTTGCTTGTTTTATACGTTCCTAGGTAACAATAAAATTTGCTCCAAATTTCTCCATTCACAAAATTTGAACTCGAAATTAAACTCTTTACGTACTTCTAACTTATGTTATTGGTCATGTTTTTATATTTTATTTATGAAAGTTTTTTTGGCTAAATTAAATTGTGATGTATTTCCCAAAAAGATAGAAATGCTTTTTCATTAGTCTCTATCTCATGAGTCACTAATTGAAAATAACATAGCTTGGTAGTGTGTGGTATGGTGAGACGTGTTAATCAAGTTTGTAAAGATGCATGATGCAGCATCTAGTGGTTTAACTAATGATTCCAAAAGCCAAACCAAATAATCATCTCACTACACCGTAACTAATACATACACACATATATACATTACTTTGTCAACTTAGATTTTTAAATTATTTCAGTTACACTGCGTGAGATTCTATGTCAGTTATTACGGAAATTTTAATAGTTAGCTTTTTGCGTACAACATTCGGTAATTTCACAGTCCATTATGAGAGTAGTTTGAATTCGTTTAAGAAAAAGTCACACCCAGAACTTTTTAACATTGTGTAGTTTTATAAAATTGATCATTCAACCGACTTAGCAATTGCATTAATAGTAGTCTCGTTGTGTATGTGTCACATGTTACTCGAAGATGATAGGTGTTGGAGTATAGTGGAGTGCAGCGACTGAAATAGATCAGAACTGTATGTGAGTAATTTTGTAAATGTACTGAAAACTGCATTATATAAACTCCCAATATCATATTTTAGCCACCTAATTAGATCCCTTCATAGGTGGGGGATGTATAGTGCAAATTGGCTGCGGTTGGTGCATAATAATCTGCGCGCACCAATTCAAGCTTTTGCACATGGACTGTATGTATATATTTAACCTATACACAATCATTATTGGATTAAGTACCTGCTACTTCTAGACACCTTTAATGACAATTAATTATTATTGTTTTGTGGAAGTTGTATGATAATAAGGTTGAAACTCAACAACAACTATGTCACTTTTTTATTCCACCACCACCTTCGTCGCCGCTTCATGGAAGAGGGCAGCGCGTTACGTTGCTTTTAGTGCATCACTTCCATGGAACACTTTACGTTCTACAAACTCCCATACATGTGTAACCTTTTTTCCCTAACTTATTTTCTAGGATCAATCAATTATTAAACCCACCCCCTCCCCCCTTATCATAAACAATAGAGATATACTAATCGAAAAAAATCCTTGTCAAATTGATCAAATAGTCGAATTAGTAACTATAAAGTTTCAAGTCGACTTTTCATAGGAGATGTATTTTGGATTTCTTAATTTGAACTGTTTAGCTATTATTAATCTAGATTGACTTAATTTCGTGTGATCATTTGTCAACTAAAATCACAAGATGAGCTTTACACGGAATATAATGAGAATAACAATAGTTACAAGGATGTGACTTTGTTAATTAAACTTCGTATACATACATCACAGATTCCGCTCGTGGAGGGTTCCTCCCTTTAGCTTTTAGGGGTGGGTTGAGTTGACTATGTATATACTGTATCCTATCTCTCTCTTACACACACGCATATATATATATATATATATATATATATATATATATATATATATATATATAATTTATTTATTTATAATTATTTATTTAATAGTAAGTATGTAGTGTTAATCTTGTATACTATCTTTAATTAATTTCGTCACTATAATAAAAATATTATCTTTTTTACTTATAGCAATGGATATTTTATTATTTATTAGTGTATTGGACTATAATTACTATAATTGATCTTAACACCAACCATTTGATGACTTATTTTACACTCATAAAGCACAGTTTAATGAATTCACACAGAGACAAACCCTCCCTAATTTTCATGCCTATATAGATATTACTGAATACCTATCCACACATCCATTTCATATTCTCTTTCTCTTTCTCACTACCACCGTTCTCTCACCTAACAACCACTCCCTCTCCACCGCCCGCCGCCGCCGCCGCCGGAAAACCATGTCTACGAAGGAGTGCACCCACCACAAGGAACGGAAAAAGAAGCGAACTCGGCAGTGCTGCGCCGGGCTTCTCATCTTCCTCTTCCTCGTCCTCCTCACCATCCTCATCATCTGGGCGGTTCTCCAGCCCAAGAAGCCCACCTTCCTCCTCCAGGACGCCACCATCTTCAACTTCAACGTCTCCGCCCCCAACATCCTCTCCGCCACCATCCAAATCACCGTCACCTCCCGCAACCCCAACGACAAGATCGGGATTTACTACGACCGGCTCGGTACCTTCGCCACCTTCCGCGGCCAGCAAATCACCTATTCCACCGCTATCCCGCCGGTATACCAGGGCCACAAGGACCGCAACGTCTGGTCTCCGTTCGTCTACGGCAACGACGTCCCCATTGCGCCCTTCTTCGGCCCTATGCTCAGCGCCGCCCAGGCCGACGGCGGCGTCTGGCTCATCTTCCGCCTCGACGGACGCATTAGGTGGAAAGTCGGGACCCTGGTCACTAGCCGCTACCATATCCACGTCACTTGTCCGGCCTATATTCCGTTCGGAGACACTCCCAGACCCGGCGGCATCGTCGTCGGCAACGCCGTGAAATACCAGCTCGTCTCGAGCTGCGACGTTAGCCTTTAATCGTCAAGTCAACGTCGCCGCGCCGTCAAGTATTTACTACAGTCATGATCATTTTCCCTGTTTTTACTTTTATTATTTATCATTTTACCCCACTGCCAAAGTGCCCAGAATACAGGTGAAAAATAATTGTAGATTTTGCTATTTAAAAAAGAAAAACAAAAATAACGACGAGGAAGTGACAGCAAAATATACAATGATGTAAGCAAGGTTAAGGATGGGATGACAAATATGTATAATACTTATTTTTTTATTTTCTCTAGTCCTTTTTTGAAGTTTTGATATTAGAAAAATGTGATGAGGACATAGTGGATGAGGAGTCATGGAGATTGGAGGGTAACCCATCACTTTCCATCTTTTTCTTACAATAATTCATATCATATAATAATTAATATTTAATTTTAGTTCAGTTTATATTAGTTTGGGTTTATTGTTTAATTATTAGTAATGTTCTAAACACTAAGCTAGATAGCTAAGTACTGCAATTACACAATCACCTTTGTTAAGTACTGCCAATGATCTTGTAGTCTAGTGTCATTCAAATAGGAGGTCATGGGTTCAAGTCTGGCAGTACCAATTAGGTTGAGAATAGCATTTATGATTTATGCTATGACATAATATTCATCAATAATTTAAAGGGTATGGATGTATTTATTTTAAAAAGTGAGATAGATTTTGTAACATAATTTAATTGTTATAGTGATTAATTAATTTAGAAATATTTGATGAAAAGATCGAAAGTTGAAGCCTTCACCGGTAACCTCTGCAGTGTGGATATGCATCACAAATATGGATCATGGATGGTTTTAGTCAATTGAGTGGTGAGCTGTTTTGGTCCACTCTAAGAATAGAGAAAGGGGCATACATAATGTATCATATCCCCATGTGAGTTTGGCCATGTTGACAGACACACATACCAAACTGTGAGATCGTATACTTAAAATAATTCATATAATGTTACTCATAACTTACGTTATTAATAGCTCCCATAATAACTCCCACAACGAATAGAGACAGTGAAATTTGAATTCAAAATTATAAATTCAAGTTCACATAGATAGCTCAGTAAATTTCAGAATGCCAAATTATATACGAGGATACATGTAGAGTCCCAATAATCGTAGTATGAGAGTTTAACTCTCTTATGAGGGACTCCTTATAGTATAGACATTGGGTATTGCTCCTCCAGCCTAATGGCCAGACTGTTGAGTTACTGTAATTTACTCATTTACAATTCTATAAAGTCGGGATGTAGAGACTTTTGGAGTGAGAATTTTCTTTATTTGTACCGCAGGAGCGTGGAATAATGAGAAGGGAGTAACAAATTATATTAATTATACATGGCATATACTGTCCGTTGGTGCACGAGACAGAGAATAAATTGATTTGCCTTACGTTAGACGAAACGGATACTTTGAAAATTTTGGTGTTTAGTTGTGTATTTTTCTATTGTGTTGGTGCAAATATTTGACTTTTTGTTTATGCATTTAATCAATGTCTAACATGCTTGGTAGTTTCTATGGATAGAATGTATGTTTGAGGCCATGAAGTTTACTTTAATGGGCCGAAGAGATCTTTTTATATTTTCAACGGATTCCTGCCAAACTCAGCCCAGCCCAAAATGACCCATTTATGTATATATGTATGTATATAAAACAATAAATTTAGCAAATATCCTACAAACGAGAAATTTATCACAAAAAACCAATGATCGAATCATACCGGTAATAATGTGGAAGTAACTTCTCAATAAAGTGAATTTCTTATACATAATTAACAAAAGTCTAGCCTCTGTTGATTAATTATTATTCCAAAGCGTGTACTATTCTGTCTGGCCAGATACTACTTTAGAACCGAGATGGGGAGCCCTTAGGGTTGGGGTTCAACCTTTTTTATCAGGAATGAGTCTCACCAATGACAGCATGGGAGCAACCTCTCAAAGTGAGGGGCTCCTTGTGCGTAATAAGTAAAGGTTTAGCCTTTATGGTTCATGTTTAATTGAATTATCATGATTTACATCATTTCAGATACTCCATGGGACCCTTAAGGTTGGGATTCACATTTTGGAAAGAATTATTTTTTTGGAATTTGACTCATAGTAAAAGTTGTCTATTGATTTAGGTTTGGGGGGGGGGCGGGGGGGGGGGGGGGGAGTTTTAGTAAATTAAAGTGATATATAATTGGGAGATGAAAATAGGTAAAACTTTTTGCCTAGATAAGTAGATAATTACTTATTGCAGCAATATCTTTACATTGATTTGGCCTATCCAACAAAACTGACAACGATTATCCCACTGGCCCTCTCTTTTCGCTTACCAATTCAGCCCCACCACATTATCACAAAACTTTGCATCTTTCCCAGCCTAAATCTCTGCAATTCATTCAAAGTGTTTTCATCCTTTTAATCTCCTGAATCTCCATCCATGGCGAAACACAGCCGCTCACGCGGCGGCGGCAGCGGATGCAACCCTTTCGGCTGCTGCTGCGGCTGTCTCTTCAACTGCATCTGCAGCTGCATCTTCCAGATCCTCTTCACCCTCCTCGTCATCGCCGGCGTTATCGCCCTCATCCTCTGGCTCATCTTCCGCCCTAACGCCGTCAAATTCTACGTCGACGACGCCTCCCTCTCGCAGTTCGATTTATCCGCCGCCAACAACACCCTCTTCTACAACCTCGCCCTCAACATGTCCATCCGCAACCCCAACAAGCGGATCGGGATCTACTATGACGTCATCGAGGCCCGCGCCTTCTACGCCGGCCAGCGATTCGCCGTCGGCAATCTCGACCCGTTCTTTCAGCCGACCAAGAACACCTCAGATCTCCGCGCGGTGTTTAAGGGCCAGAACCTGGTCCCGCTCGCCGACGGCGATAAATCGGAGTATACGTCACAGAAGAACAATGGGGCTTACGGGATTGACTTGAAGCTCTTTCTGCAAATCAGACTGAAATTCTGGCTCATCAAATCCAAGAAAATCAAACCCACCATTGATTGCGCTCTCGACAATGTTCCCCTGCACCCCTCCAATGGCAATTTTGAGAGAACACAATGTCATCTTGATTGGTAGTAGATTCTTGATTCTTGATTCTTTATGCTCTAGATTAATCAAACTTCTACTTTCCTGCGTTTAGATTCCTTAGTGTGCATTTTTGCTTCTTGAAAATTATAAAAAAAAAAATTAAAAAAAAAATGTGTTTTTATCATTTCTTGATTGCAATTATCTAGTTACAAGTAAAACTCGCAGTCATTATCTTAATGAGTATTTTTTTTTTTTTTTTTGGTAATTCTAACGGGAAAGGATAAATCTGCTATAATTGTTTATAGCGGATCTTAAATCAAGAAAGTTAATAGTTTGGATTTGTAATCTTATTATTATCGTGTAAATTTGATTGGGTTTCTCATTGTTTGCAATTATCTTGTGGTTTAGTGTTGATGAGATGAGAATATAGGATTGATTGATTCTTCATAAAAGTTTTTGCCTTTTTTATTTTGAATGATAAAAAAGATTAAAGAAGTGATTCAAATCTTTAAGAAAAGGGGATGAAGTAGCTCTCAAGATTGAAAGTTGCACGTTATGATTTAGACTATGTAAATGTAATGGGACAAACGTTAGTTGCGACAAAAAGTGGTCGTGACATCCTGAAAAAGATATAAAGTGGTGGCCCCAACTTTGGGTCTTGGGTTAAAGATTCAAATTTGAAAATTGGGTTAGTTTATTGATGCTAATGGGTTAGAGTTTTTGGGTTTGAATGTGCATTAATCTCTGCTGTCCACATGTCATGTAACGTTGCGTTTGTCACACATGACTACATCTTGCCCCCACCAACTCACAAGTCACAAGTGATGTGCTATCATGATAACTTGGTAATTGGCACTTGCATTTGTTGTCATTCTTTTTATATTTTTATATTTATAATTCAAGTTTCGTCAGATTAAATTTAAAACTTCATGAACATGCTCTTAGGCCTTTAAGAGATAAGTTGAGTCAATTTAATTTTGAAATTTAACATCAAGTTGTACACTTCTGCACACAAGAAATGATACTAATCGAAGCCTAAACATTCATCACATAATGAGACTAATCCAAACTTAAATCTTTAATGTTTGTGTAACAGGAATCAAACTTTCACTCACCCAATTATTGTAGTCAGTGTTGCAAAAATCATGCCTAGGTGCTAGGCGCTCGGCCTCCTAAGCGGTCCCCAGGCGCCTAGCGATTTTTTTACCTTTGATTGTAGTTTAATAATCAATTATTTTCTAATGTATCAACTATGGTGTCCATCTCATTCTCTTAACCATTGCTAAACCTAAAACACCAAACAAACATACCAAAGACTGGGATGCTTTACATCAAATAAGTTGTCTGCATCCCCAACCCCCTCCATTATTATATTGACAGTTTGTTACCTACCCCATCCTTCAATTTTTTTGAGGCCATAACTCTTTGAGACTTATTTATACACAATACGCCTTTGACTTGACATGTACTCATATTGTATGTTATCAGTAGAGTTTTTAAGTGAGCTTTAATCCAACTTGTTTAAAGCTCATATATTAAAATTAGGGATTAATTTCATTGAAGTTTCCTATCACTCAACAGTTTAATATAACTAATAAACAAACTCCTAAAGCAATTATAATGTTAAAGTTTGATTTTCTCTTGTGAAAGAATCAAAGCAAGTTCAAATTAATTTATTTTCTTTTTCTTTATTTGTTTGGTACATAGCTGTAAAAGTGTTTGGTAAGTTAATTGATAGCTAATTACATGCAAAATGACTTTCTCAAAAAGTTGATCAAAAAAATTACATTGAGCAGATTTTTAAAATTTAACATTTTGAAACAATAAACTATTACAAAAAGTGGCCAAAATTGGCTGATAAGTTAATTAGGTACAAATTCAACATTTATTTATTTTTTCTTTTGTGGAATAAAGTCATAAAAATCCTTAGATTTCATTATAGTATGTTAGTGGTTTTATTTATGGGAATAATCATGAGAATTGGAAACGAAAAAACAAGGGGAAAAAACTAATGGCGGAAGGTAAAATGTCAAAATCAAATATATACAAAAATGAAAATTCAAAATACAGTAGTGATATACTAGGAGTCAGATCAATGCCGTGCTAAACCTCGCCGGCCGGCGGAGGTGGCGGCATTTTATACGCCGGCGAGAGTAGCCTCCACAATTGTAACAGCTCTGTCACCTTCTTCACGAGCCGGCGAGGCTGACGGAGTGAAGTAGGTTGGGGAAGTACATGGAGTGGAGAAAGGCGTCGTTTCTATATCCAAATGGCAGTCATCGGCCACCGTGGCCACCACCTCCGGTGATATTACCGGCGAGTCGCCGTCGATCTCGAAGAAATCCTCCAAGCTCCTCCGTTTACTATTCGTTTTCCTTCTGGGACCCTTTTCCACCGAAGAACAAACTGATTCTAAGTCTTCTTTCTCTTCTTCCTTGATCGTGAAGAGAATCTTGGAGGGTCCATAAAGGCCTCCCTGGAGCTTCAACAGGTCGACGAGCTCCATCTCCGGCGACTCGGGGGTTGACCCGGCCGAGTTGTGGAGACTCGGGGTGGAGCTGGGTTCGATTCTGGCGAGGTGAGTGTCAGTCCGGAGGCAGAGAAACAAGAAGAGTTCCTTAGAGGGGGCGGAGAAGAAAGAGGATGACTGAGATTGCCTCTCGACGTCGCCGCTTCCACTTTCCGGCGTGATGCTACGGCGGAAGGCGCGGCGGCGCCAGAGCACGAAAACGAGCTGGGCGAAGAGCGCCGCCAATAAGACAACGAAGACCACGGCGAGGGCCGTGCCAAGTTTGCTTATACCGCCGGCCATCTTTACAGTAACTCTGAGGTTTTCATGCACAAAGTCTAGTTTCCGGCATGGGAGACTGGGAAAGGTCTGAGGTTTCGTGTTCGTAGGGGAGAGGATTGGACTGAAGTTTAACGGATAAATTTCTTGGAAATTGAGAAGTAATAAAAGCGTGGGAGAGAGAACGACGTGGACACAAATTGTGTGTGACGTGGACTGGCTTTTGAATTAAATGGGCAGATATAAAGTCAGTAAGACACATTTAAAAAAAAAAAAAAAAAAAAAAAAACATAAGGCTCAAATAGCTCCATGCCTCCATCTATATTAATCATTGTTCAACTCACCCTTTGAAATAAATAAGATATATTTATTTTTAAAATTTTGTTTACTTAACATTTTCTTCAAATTTTTCTTAAATAGCCCTTAAACAATGCTGACATGAAATTTAACATGGAACTTTGCTGATTTGTTAATAAGTAAATTTCAATTTTGGCTCGGTGACTATTAGGGCGTAAATTATGCTGTACAACCGAATGCACCATGTGCATGATGCATACGATGCAAAACGATGTCGTTTTGGTTAAAAAACACGCGTCCCACTTAAAAAAGAAATTAGGTTCGATTCCCGACAATAACATTTTTATATATCCACAAATTCATAACTAAATATCCACAAATTCATAACTATATATCCATAGTGAATGAATGAAGTAAAAATACACAATATATTCATAAATTCATAACTATATATCCACAGTGAATGAATAAAGTAAATATCTACAATGGATGAACTAAATATCCACAATGAATGAACTAAATATCCATAAATCTATAACTATATATCTACAATAATGCTATTGTCGAGAATCGAACCTGAAATTTTTTTTTTAAAGTGGGACGCACGTTTTAAGTCAAAACGACGTCGTTTTGCATCGTATGCACCATGCACATGGTGCATTCGGTTGCATAGCATAACTATTGCTATTAGGGTCTTATTAATTGCAATTCACGACTTTCAAAACTGTTAAAAAGGAGAAAAATGAATGAAATCTTTGCTTCTCACCAATCTTGTGGTGTTAGGTACCTCTTACATTTTTTTTCCTTCCATCAGTTACCAAGAAGCTTCCTCTTGTTGGATGTATGTGTTGTAGCCGTATTAATACTAAAATTGTCATTCAGCTTCATGCCAAAATACTATACATTCATAAGTATTACCTTAGCTGTGAAGTTGTTAAGTATCATATCATATATGGATAAGCATCCATCACTGTTCCCATACCCTTTTTGTCTTTAAAATCATGTATGTAAACTAGGTAAAAGTAAAGGGTTAAGATATTGTGGCAACCCTGGGCAAATTGATCGTACAGTTGACTTAATAATCATGAGGTTTCAAGTTTGACTTTTCATGTGAGCTGTCTATTTGGCTTTTGGTTTGAACTAGTCAGTTAAGGGCAACCTACGCTTGTTTACCTCATTGTGATAATTTACTAGATAGATTTATAAGGCGTGTGGTCCTGTGCCGACTAGGGTACAAAGCGGGTTTCACCCAAAACGTACATACATAGACAAATGTTAGTAGCAACAATTAAACAGTTGTTATATCGTGGACCACGGTGCAAAATCGATTATGCACCGTGCATCAAAACGACGCTGTTTCTTTAAGTAAACAAACGGCGCACTGTTAGTGTTAACGAAGTGACACTACAGTGTATCTAAAACGACACTACCTCACGTATTATTTTTATATTATCGAATGAAACTGCAGTTATATCAAAACGATACTATAGTTGTAGTGAAATGAAACTGTAGTATATATAAAATGAAACTGAATAACATTTCACATATTTGAGTGTATGTTGTACAATGAAGCTGTAATTATATCGAAATGATCATGTAGTTGTGTTTTAATGAAACTATAGTGTATATAAAATAAAATTAAATAATATTTTCACATATTTGAGTGTATAAATATTGAATGGAACTGTAGTTGTGTTGAACTGAAACTACAGTGCATACAAAATGAAACTGAAGAAGAGAGTTATTTTTTAAGGAACGGCACGAAACTGATTCTATTTCTTTTCATTTAATAAAACGACGTCATTTTGATGCGCGGTGCATAATCGATTATGCACCACGGTGCACGATATAATTTGCAACAATTAAAGCATACATATTGGAGGTTTGGGTTGGGTTGAGTTTTGTGTGCAAAAAACTCTAGAATTTGATGTCTTGGGTCATCAAAAAAGAAAGAGGATTCATTGGAATGGGCTTTAAAATATTGGGTTTCTTGATAAGCCCATTGGGCTACTGCAATCAGTTTTAAGTCCAATCAAGGATTATATGGAAAGCTTTAATGGGCTTAAAAACAACATCGTAAGCCTCATGGACTATTTGATAATTTCGTCCGGGTAGATTCTTAAATTCAATTGTCATCGAGATTCTAAAGTTTTCAATATTCTAATTTCAACCTCAGGGTTATAGTTTAGTTTAAATCGTGCCCCTTAAATGTTCAAGTTTGTAATTTCGTCAAGAATGTTATAAAAAAAATTGGATACTATGTCCTCCGGAATTCTATTGTCATGTCAGTAATTACAATTAGTCCAAAATCAATTTACTATTTTCCTAAGTCGAGGAATATTCAAGTTGTCCTCCATCAGAATAGGGTGAATTGCACAAACTAAATCATTAAGTTTATGCAAGTTCCGGTTATGCTAGAGTAAAACCTTTTCTAGGAAGTTCGTTGTCCTGTTTTTTTTTTTTTTTTTTTTTTTTTTTTTAGATATAATTAATTTTATCCGAATCTTACAATTCTTTCCCGACTCATTATAATAGGCCTCCACAATATTCAGAACTAGACTTTGGGGTAAGTTAATCTTGTAAGGGGTATAGTTTAAATGAATATAAGAATTTTTAGTGATTATGTTATGAATGGTTTATAAAGCAAAAGATATATCCACTTAAAGATGAAAAAAAAAAACCATAAAATAGAATGTGGAGAGGAAACATGGCTTCCACGAAGTGCAGAAAGATGGATAATTGGGGTCGTGAGTGATGATGATTTTAATGATTATGTCTCGTACGTGCATATTCCATTAGGCTTCAGATACAAGGTTTTCCTAACCCAATAATTCTCAGCTGTCATGTATCCTCGACCAATTGTTTACTACAAATAATGTAATGATGGTCGTGTTTTTTTTTTTTGTTTTTCTTTCTTTCAGAAATCCACAGTCACTATTCCAGCGTGTGTACGAAGTAAACTCGACTTTTATGTAATAATTCATAATCACAAATAAGAGATTTGCATTAGAAAGACCTTGTATAATGAGTTTAACCGAGAAAGTCTTGACTAAAATATAAGAATCATATTTCATTTATTTGATCATTCTTTTCGAGACAATGATTGTGTTTTAATTTAATCGGGCAACAACTCCACTGTCTCATCCATCATCATCATCAATGCTCCATTAATCTCACTAAGCTAATTCATACATGTATAAAATTACACGCCATTTAGGTCGTTTTAAAATATATGAGGTTATGTTAATCGTGAAAAAAATAAAGTGGGACAATTTGTTTGGGTAGAGGAAGTATAACCCTGCTTCATTTAGTTGCTTATATATATATATATATATATATATATATATATATATATATATATATATATATATATATATATATATATATATTCATATTCGGGTTATAGGAAATTATGTCAATCCAATATTTATATCAATAGTGAAACTCATTGAGGATTAATTTTCGTTAGTCCATGGTAGAGTACAATTCAAGAGGAAAAAGAGAATGAAATTATAATTTGCCCTATACTCATATATAGTGAATGTTTGCCCTCGGTGCATAGTTAAGTAGTCGAAAGGTTGAGTGTAGTGTCCAATGAATATTCAGGTTCAAAAAAGAAGTAACATATGATCTGTAAGTCAAGCACGTTTAACCAGAGTTCTTTGACAATCTGATTGTCATATCATATTTAAAACAAATTGGTGATAAGTAGATGAACATTAACCCTTTAACTATATCCGATCCTTCCGTGATAAGTTACGGCGCCAAGCCTCGAATTGAGTAAGGACTGAATTCACATGCGAGATTAAGTTTTTGCACTACTGTAATTTTAACAAAGTTCAAGATAAGCTAATGTTTGTAAAACTAAACTCTCTTTACATAGCAATATAATACAAAAAATAGCCCTTAATTAGTCGGTTGTCAAATTATATTGCCTCCATTACTTCTTTAATTAATCAAATGAGTGCTTAATCTTAGCACACTTGAGTCCAAAATTCAGCAATATTATTTTGTCATCGATGTTTTATTTTAAGTGACAAGAAAACCTACACTTACTATCTAAAATTAAGCACCAAGTAAACTTCACTAGCTCCTCTGTAATAGCGCACAAAACGTAATAATATTTTTATTTTGAATAAAAAAATCAAACAATAACATACAAAATGTATAAAATGAGACTCAAATTTAAGCCCTTTTAATGAGTAAAACATGCCCATTTACACCATGAAATTTCTTGTATTCATTAAGAGTCCGTTTGAAAACCTGAAAAATATTTTTCGAAAAATGATTTTCATAAAAAGACTCACTTTTTGAAAAATAATATAATTTTCTAATGTTTGGCTAAACGTCGAAAATTAACTTCTTTTTTTTTTTTTGTTTGGCTGAAAGTTCATAAATTGCATTTTTCTGATTGGTTAATTATTTTCCTGAAAATGAACATATCATAATAATAATAATAATAATAATAATAATAATAATAATAATAATAATATTAATAATAATAATAATAATAATAATAATATTATTATTATTATTATTATTATTATTATTATTATTATGTGGTGGTGATGGTGGTGTAGTGGTGGTGGTAGTTGTGGTGGTGATGGTGATGGTGATGGTGGTGGTAGTTGTGATGGTGATGGTGTGGTGGTGAGGTGGTGGTGGTGGTGATGGTGATGATAGTGGTGGTAGTAGTAGTGATAGTGACGGTGGTGGTGGTGATGGTG